CGTTCCTCGCTGGATTCAAAGACTAGAGAGTTCAAATAAAAAATGCCTCCTCTGTTAGGAGGCGGCGAAATCAATCGAGCATTTGCTTTTTTTCTTGCAAAATATTGTCTAACTTCTGCAAACATGTCTCATCCTGGCTTAAAGAATTAGCTATTTCCTTCAGGTTTGTTTCGATCGAAATTTCCTCTTCTTGAGGAAAGGAGAAAACTTGCTTGATAGGTTCAGTCTATCGGAACTTCGAGTTCCTATCCAGCGACAATTGGCCTACGTAATACTGCAAATGGTTTTAGCATAGTTCTTCCTAGATATTCTACTTGTACTCGAGATGATAATCGCTTGTTGTGATAATGGAAATGGGGGGAAAAAGGATCATAAGTGAGAGGAAGCATTTTTATAAAGCAGCTGATTGGCTACTACTGAACAGTTGGTTAGCAATAAAGGGGGTAAGTTTCTAAAGAACTGTGGTGCTGCATCGGTGGATATAAAATATAAAAGGTAATCTGATATTATCAACTGAGTTGATAACGTAAATTTGGCCACCGTTAAGAGTTTCAAAGCTGACGTTCAGAGCCGGCGAAAAAAAACAAGAATACCAAATTACCTTAGAAGGTAAACAATAGACTGGTTAAGTATGACTCTTAAGGCAAACGGCAGAATTGAGCTTCATACTTTCAGGTGTCAGTTTTGTACTCTAGCGTTAAAACAATTGCCTTAACAGTAAAAAACCAATGATTTTCAAATGACCTTCACGTAATTTAGAGATTTTTGTGAAGAAATACATTTTTTAGCAATCACCTGAGAAATTTTTCTTCAATAAATGTCATCCTCAACATAATTCGACGAATTTTGTCGAAAAATACCCTCCACTTCCTCTTAACTTGTTTCAACTGTATTCCATCGATTTGGCGTGAAAATCTTTTAATAAAGATACCCAGATACTCACTTATCTTTGCGGCGGATATCCTTATTTCATTCTTTCCCTTCGTTTTTAATGAATCTAGTGAGCAGAGACAAGCTCCATGTGACTGATTACCAACGCAAACAAGCAACGCGATATCATCTGCCAATGGCCAAAACTGAAACAATTTCGTCGCGCTAGTTGGCGTACTAGATAGTATTTGGTATGCGAGATTACAGATTTCAACAGATCTGAAAACTTGGAAAAGTTATGTAAACTATCTTAACACATAAAACAAGCTGAGAATTAAAACCTCCCTAAAATAACGATTAATGCAAAAAAAAGGACTCTTCAAAGCCTTCCATATACCACTTGAAAAATTCCCTGACAATCTCCGCCCACGTACAGCGTTTTCCCAGCATAGGCAAACCATAATATTCTGGTACAAACCCCACGTTAACTAAGTTAAAAATAGGCAGACCCTAAGTTTAAAAGAATCAAGTACATTTCTTACAGGTCACGGCAAAAACAAACGAAAATAGCTGATATAAGCGAGATAAAAGAAAAGAAATTAGAACAATTCCGTGCATGCCTGATGAAGCTTAACACGCATGTAACTTTCTTATGAAATTCTATCTGTCATTAGTTGCCGTTCCGCTTTATCGTTATCAGCTGTGGCATCTCAAAGCAGAATAGGATGGTAAAATTAATTATATTACATTACACGGAGCTAAGCCAAAAACAATAATTATTACATAACAATACAAGAAAGGACGAGCGCACAAAACCTAACAATAATCGATTAAATTATAAAACGAAAAACAACAAGGGGAGAGAAAAATAGACTTACGAATTGTCCTCTCTGTACACCTGAATAGAAGTCGCAAATGAACGCAGTAATTAACTTCGCAGATAACTCTCTCACATTTCACTCTCTCAAGCAACAACGTACGAGGTTTTATAATAGCCCTTTTGATCTTACGCGTCACTAGTGTCTAACCAAACTTAATCTTTAACTTAACAACAGTTACAATATGTGTTCGATCTATTGTGAAAAAAAAATGCATATATATATATTTCTTTTCTTTTTCACAATCGATTAAACACATATTTCACATATGTATGTATATTCCAATTGCGACTCTCTGAGCTTTCCATCAACCGCTCAAACAATATTGAAACCAACTACAGCTTTAATGAATGGATTCGGTTTGGATTTATTTTTTTCGGCCGTTTTGTCGTTGATGTCCTGAAAATTGAGGCTACCAGACCCACCAAATAATCTTTCACCGGAATGTCAGTGTAATGATAAAGCCTATCTGCTTTCTCTCTTTTGTCAAACATGTCCATGAACTAACACTTGATAATTGCCGGTCGGAAAACAAACTCTTGCAACTCTATGGTTTGAAAATACAACAGCTCGTTTACATATGAACAGGTCAAAGATAAAACTCGTTTAATTGTTGTAAACGAAGTTTAAGCTTTAGCAGGACTGTGTTATGGAAAAGGTTCCCGAAATAAATCAAACAATACAACTCCTTAAAGGGGAAGTACGGTCTAGAAAAATTTTACTTCTATTAATAGAACTTTTCCACAGGAATTCGAAAATAGTTGCCGTTTTGTCCAGTTTGCTTTGCAATTACGACAACAGCGCTTTGAAGTTGCTCTTATCTACCACTTTCGCGACTAGAAAAACGCCATCTGGGATATGACGTCAGCTATGACGTAGCAATAGTCAAACCTTGTTGTTCATCGCTTTGACCTGGTTGACTTGATTGACCTTTCTGACGAGTATTTCTAATGAGGGTTTAACTATGGTCAACTGTCTTGTAGTTAACTGCCATAATACTTACAAAAATACAAAAGGGAAAGGAGTAAGCTTCCACAAGCTACCTGTAAATGAAAATTTAAAGAAAATTTGGCTGGCAAAAATAAAACGCGAGGACGCTCTGCCGAAACCCGAGAACTGCTACGTCTGCTCAGATCACTTTATCAAGGACGCCTTCAAGCGGAATATTCAGGTATGAATATTTGACCTTTACTTCAAACTGAAAGCTATGTTTACCTTTCCCATACTCGAATTGTATTTTTTTCTTTAATTTTATTTAAAAGAACCACTGTAATAGCAGCAAAACAAATTGAAACTCGCATTGGTGATTGACCGCGTGTAGTAAATTCAATCGCGACCATGAGGCGCTTAGCCGTTTTCTCCCAAGAATTTTTCTCAAGCATTTTTCCAAAGCAGTGTTTATAATTATCTTATAAGGCACGTGAATATTTGTTTATACCAGAATCACGGTAAAAAAGGTCTTCTAGTCACTCTGTGTAAATAAGAAGACAATGAGGAAAACCATTAGTGTGTTTAATGTTTGTTTGTTTTCCTTTCTTGTAAAAATACAGTCCGAGCTCCTTGGATCTGACGGTAGCAGGAAAAAGAGACATTTAAAAGATGATGCAGTTCCATCTGTTTTTCCCTATGCGCCTCCACCAAAGAAAATCCGACAAACAAGCGTTGGTAGGGCGAATCGCCAGAGCCGACAGGAGGTGGGGTGTGAAATATTAATGATGCAACTAACTACTGTTTTGTGATACCAGCCTATAAATGTAATCAACACCGTACATTCTGCATTTCATCGTAGGTCTTGAACACCCTTCTCGATACACTATCTACCTCCTGTGCTGCTTCGCCCTCTTCTCCAAAGCTTGAAACAGAACCTTCGGCGAATCAACTTTCTTCCCCAAGCTGCGCGGAATCTCAGTTTATCCGGACCGACGCTACATCTGCAAGCGCAGAACACCGCGAACCTGAAAAAAAGTTTACGACGTGTGGAACACAATGGCTTGCTAGTGAAACAGGAGACGCGCTGCTTCTTCAAGATCACAACTATAGTTGTGTTCCACCATGGAATCCGCTGCCTTTATTCTCTAAGCCTGGGTCCCTTTGCACGCAGCCATTTACTTCGACCCCGATCAAAGCTTCATCTAGCCAACCACCTCGGCTTCTGGAACTCTCAATTAACCTGGAAGAAGATACTGACGTAACAATAGATGACGATGTGAACGACAATTCCCTTCAAGTCAGCTTTGATGATGACAATATCAACAACAGTTCCATTCAAGTCAGCTGTGATGAAGAGGCTGGGGAAGACAGTTCGTTTAACATCAGCTTTGAAGAAGTGGACCAGGACACCACCCAAAGCGATTTGGAGACTGATCCGCCCGTTAGTAACCGTCACGATACCATTTATGAGAAAATGTGTTCGTCTCCCAAGTACATAGTATTTGAGGAAGAACTGCTTAAGTTATTTGGTCGCTGTGTTGAATGCGGTGGCGAGGTTCTGGAAAAGGAGCTATTAAAAAAGGGAAGTGCACTTAAAGTAACGACACTTTGTAAAAACTCCCATTCGAAGGAGTGGGTTTCCCAGCCACTTATTAACAGGGCGGCCGCGGGGAACGTATTGCTTTCAGGTGCTATACTTTTTACAGGAAATACGTTTTCGCGTGTTTCCGAAGTTGCCTCTGCAATAAATCTTGCCTTTCTGAGCAAATCGGATTATCACAACTGGCAGAAGAAGCACCTTTTCCCTGTTATAAATGATCGTTGGCAGCAGGAAAAGGCGGCAGTCCTCGCCGATCTCTTAGACAGGAACTCAGTCACTCTCCTCGGGGATGGACGTTGTGACTCCCCAGGCTATAGTGCCAAATACGGAACTTACACCATGATGGACAAAGAGAGTGAGAAAATTGTCGATTTCGAAGTTTGCCATGTAAAGCAGAGTACAAGTTCACAGGTAATGGAGAAACGTGGTTTTAAGCATTGTCTTGATCGCGCACTAAATAGTGGCATTCCTGTAGGTGTTGTAGGTACTGACAGGCACACCGGTATCAAGGCACTCATGAGAAGCGAGTATAAGGACCTCGGTGTTGAGCACCAGGTAGACGTGTGGCACTTGACTAAGAACATCAAGTCCAAGCTAGCCACGAAAGCCAAGAAGAAAGAATGCAGGGACCTCTCTCCTTGGATAAAATCCGTGACAAACCATATGTGGTCAGCGATGACGTGTGACGGAAATCCCCAGCTCCTCAAAGAGAAGTGGGTCAGCATACTCCACCACACGGCTGACAAACACGATTGGGATTCGACTGTGCTGTACAATCGTTGTGCACACGAGCCCATTTCCCCAAGGGCACATCGTAAAACGAAATGGCTAATCGAAGGTTCCCCGGCACACGAAGCGTTAAAACATGTAGTGCTAGAGAAGACACTTTTAAAGGATTTGGACCTTCTAACGAAGACCATCCACACAGGGGCCTTGGAAGTGTACCATTCACTCTACAACAAATACGCGCCCAAGCGGCAACATTTTGGATACCTGGGAATGGTAGCACGTACACAGCTAACTGCTTTAGACCACAATTCGGGCACTGGTCGATCTCAAGCAGAGGCTTCGAGTGGGGAGAAACGATTCCGTTATGTTTATCCTAAGGGGATGAAGGATTGGGTTGTAAGGCCTGTTTTCGAAGAGAAGACCAAGCCGCACGTTACGGAAATGCTATGCTCAGTGTTGGAGATGAGAGACACGGGAGAAGAGCCAGAGCAAGTTCAAGTCCCTGATCTCCCAAAAAACATCGCACCCATTCCGCGCCCACCAAAAGAGGACCTTCTCGCACGGCATGTATCCAGATTTGGAAAAAAATTAAGCAAGTGAAAAAAATAGAAATACAAAAATCGAATAGTCCGCCTAAAATGGCACTAGCATTTACATTGTCAGTTTTCTATTTTTGGAACAGACTGTTGAAGGTATTTTAATGATTGGAACTGGAGCCGATACCCCTATAGCGCCGTGGACCTCCTTGAATGTGTAATAATAACAAAGACAAGTTTATTAATTAAACGTGACTATCCCGGCCATGAGTCATTGTCCTCGGCATCTTTAAAGCCTGTATAATTTCCGGCTGCATCTGGGTAATTACGTCTTATTGATGCCACAACACACGAAGGAATCACGCGTCTGTTCCCTTTACCAAGTCTGTTATAAGTCCACCAAGTAAACTGTCTATAACCTGCCAATCGCATACTCCTAGGAAAAAACAAAAGACATTGATACATGCTCGGAACAGAACCCAGACAAATGCAGTTGAAACAAACAAATTCTACTTCGCCAAGCAGGGGCTCATTTGTAATGAGATCAATATCTTAAGCTAACACTGTGTGACAAAGGGAGACTTCCTGACGCTCGCCGTTTGACTAAGGCTCTGTTTACATGTAGCAAGTTTCCCTTTCTTATTTTCCCTCATTAAGTGATGTGATGATTCTCATAAGAACTCCTTCTTTCAATTTTGTCTCGTCCACGTCCATATTTACTCATAATTTACCTCCATTAGGAAAACAAAGCACACAAACTGAAGAGGTGTACTGGCTCTTTACAATTAAATATAGCGATGAAGTTCACCCTTCAGACAAAAGACTACAACACCACTTGTATTAAAAGGGCTGACAACACTGCATTTGTTTCTTAGGGTTCGCGTCACACGAACTCGTAAACAACTAAAGCGCTTTGTTTGCATGAATTTTGTGAAAAATATTTATTCTGTCGGTGCTTACTCATTTGACGGATAATCTTCAAGTCTGTCATTTCTCACATGGTGCATGCCAACTAGGGCTGTTCTCAAGACGTCCGCTAGTAAACAAACGGGTCCAAATGATCCGTGCTCTGTAATACACTGAAGCTTGTTACCTGCAATTTCAGTGATAGTTCATATCACTCAGTTAGCAGGGTGAAATAAATCCATTGCGGGCACTGCGCCGTTCTTTTGTAAAAAAATAAAAAATTATCACTTTAGAAACAAAGATTTTATTTGAGAAGAATTAATTACCTTCCAGATCGAGTCGATCACCTACTACATCCATTTCTTGGCAGCATATACACTCGTTTTCTGTTGGCATCTCTTGACAGTTGCCGCAAGAGCACCATTCGCGATTTCCAAGACGTGAGCGCGTAAATGTTTCTTCTTGTATCTCTTCCTGAGTTTCTTTGTCAACAGAAATTTCTTCTTCTCCTGAAGATGAGCTATGTTGCGGCTCAAACATGAATGGACGAATTACACCTTCTGGATTAAGATCCAAGTCGAGAATTGAGTCATTATCGCTCTCCTCGCCGCTGTTTTCTATGTTTTCATCCATCTTAGTCGACATTACAACGCTTGACTATTGCTACGTCATAGCTACGTCATAATAAAGATGGCGGATTTCAATTCCAAAATGTCAATTTTTTCAACGTAATTTCTGGCAACAAATACACTTAAAGCTCAAATGAATTGCCAATTATGAAAAAACAAGTCAGAAACTTTTGATATAGGTAAACTTTTTCTAGACCGTACTTCCCCTTTAAGTGAGTTTGAAATGAAATTGAGAAAACTCATTTTTGAAACTGACATCGTCTAGTTTTTTAGTACAATGTTAATATACACGGTATCATATACACGGTTTCCTTGTAAAGCAAGTTTGACTTTGACTACAGTATTTTTGGTTTTCCTAGCAAGTGTATTAATTTGATTAAATCCTTTAGAAATAATTGTAAGTTTTAACCCGATGGAAACACCGTGTAAACATGGAATTTTACTGCTTCTACCATTTCAAAGACAAGCACTGTTTACAATACTAAATATAGGTAATGATTTTTAGCGTCCGTTAGAAAACTAACGTAAGTTACTGATGAGAGAAAAGTTAATGCCAACTTAAATTATGTGCAGTACTAAATTACCTTCCGATAGTAACATAACTTTTTATAATAACCAACCCAACCTAACTGGCTCAGTCGGAGGAATTATAGGAATAGTTAATCATGTCACTTCAGTATGACTGACTTTAGCAGCAAATTATCTGTTCCCTGTGGCAAGGGTGAGCTGATTCATCATCTCATAGGACAGGGTAAGAAAACATGAGATCAAGAGATCCTCGTGGGCTGGTAGAGTTGAGACATCTAAAGATAATCGGCAATGTGAGGCAGCCCACGTTCACATATCAAGTCGTACAGCTCACCCACTGTTCTTAACTCGTTTCGCATAGCGACAAGATCCAGTATGGTAGTGCTCTCTGGGTAGTTCATGTCGCTTGGTCCGCTCTTTTGATACTGCATCCCCAAAAAGGTCCCTAAAACAAAGAAAACACACATTCACCTTAGTTGTACGTCACGATATATGACTTGTTTATAAATGAACGCCACGAGACCATCAAGTTATATAAGTGACCTACTTTATGAACTGCTGGCAAGAATATACTCATGGACCATTGTAATGAGAAAAGAGCAACATATCTGCAGTATGGTTTCATTTCGAGTATGGGTCTATGTGATGCACTCGACATAGGGAGTAGAGTGTGCGAAAAAGTAGAGACGCCATTCCAGACTCACTAGTTATAAGATAAGTTTTTCTGCTGTTTCAATATTTCTTATTTAAACGAGAAGACTTAGCTATGTAAATTTCTTTTTTAGTGATATGTAGTTTTCTGTGTGTTGTCAAAACACCTCGCGACTATTGTTCTCCTAGTGAACAGGAACAAAGAAGCGATGCAAAGTATGAGACTGAAAACATGTGCCAAGAGCCCCATTACATGATACGGGGTGACTCCACAAGTTTACTGGTTCAATAAAAGTGATTACAAAGGGAATGTGTCTCTCAGCCGGTTACCATGAGGTTGCAAATGGAATTTCCCGGCCGGAAGTATCCATATCTTTGTAAACTGGATCCCCGTGAACGTCGATGGCCGGGAATATGCAACAGGCCACTGTGCAAATGCATTTACACATAAGCGTTCCTATTTGGCGACTATTTCACGAAACTTTACTTACGTTCCAAAAGTTTTGATTTTTTTTCTTTTATATATTGGGGGATGTCCTTGATCAGCAAGTTCTCATGTAACCAAGGACCTGAAAGAAAAGAAGAATCGTCTTAGGAATAAATACTGAGTCTAACTCAATGGCTTCCCGCACAAACGTAGAATCGTAATAAAGGCTCGACCACACGAATCAAATGATTCGAAACTATTATTTATGGAATTCATGAGGATCCCCCACTTCCCCCTTCCATTATCATTGTTGATTCTCTCATCTCGTGTATTGTCTCTCGCTCGCGTTTTTTCGCTGCGTTGACAAGAACTTTTAAAGCTGTAACAAGGACATTATTTTGCAACTGAACATAACATGAGTAATATCCAAACATGTCTTGCAAACTTAAAAGTGTTGCTTGTTTTATGTAAATTATTTCCTATTTTAATTTCACGGATTAAAGAGAGTTCGATGTTCGAGACCTTCTGACTATTTTGTTAACAAGGCATCATGGTTATAACTGTTCAATAATCCATAGATAAGTATTGAGAAGGATTTAAGGAAATGATATCAAACAGCTAACCTGTTGTTCCTGGTGGTGTGATCTCTCTTAAGTAATAGAAAACGTCGAATCTTTTTAAATGTTTCGCCCTTCTTGCCAAGCCACGGATAGCCCTTTTGTCCTCTGTGGTTGGATTTTTGAAAAAGCCTTTATCTAGCTGTATAGAGTTGTCCAATTGTTGTATAACAGCTCGAGCACTGCTTGACGATGTCAAAATAGATTCTACAGTGCAACAAAAAAGAAAGGAAAAACAGCATTTACGATCACAGAATAAGTAACGACGATACTGACATCAAACTTTCGGAGAGAAATCTGATGGTTGCCCATGAATTGTTCAAATCAGAGTCTGCTGTTTTAGGTGTTTCAAAATCAGCAGACTTATTCCAATAAAACGCCGACCGACTCGAAGAGGTTAAATGAAAGTTTAAGTAAATCAACTGCCAGAAGAGGGATGAATGAAATTTAAAATGGGCTGTTATGCTATGCCATTACAGTAAGCTTTCAGGCTCTGAAAAAGTACAAGTTTCAGCCATACCAAGTACGAAACAAGAATTTGGTTGTAATCACGTTCATCCGCTGGTAATTCAGATTGACAGGCTTAACTGGAGATAAATCAAAACTTCACATTCAAAGTTGACTGATAATTATTGTAGTTGTTGTGTTTTTTCGTTCTTTGACAAAAATACCGTCATTTGAAAATGTTGTTCTAAACCTGTGTTTGTTCAGATCCATAAGCAAATAAATATACAGCGATACGAAATATAGGATATCACTCATAAAGAGTGTCCTCATTTCTAATTGCTTTAGTAATTCCATATCTTTAGCAGGTTTATTCTAACTCATTCTCATCCACATTCCGTACGAGTTATTGACCAGTTTAAGGTCGAGATGGCTGGATATTGACCAAATCTTTTTTTTATATTAAAGTTCACACGGCAACCAGGTGGACAATCAGACATAGCTTGATGCTACTCTGGTTTACAGATTTAATGAATGTTACCGAAGAAGTCACAATTCATAGACCCAACGTTTCGACACTCCTGTCTAGTGCCTTCATCAGCTCATACCTATTCAATTAAAAATCATCATTCGGTGGAGACTAACTATAACTTTCACCTTTGCCAAATCCATATTCAGAAGTGGCACTACTCCAGGTCCCAGCTCCACTATCACTCGGTAATGTGATTTCGCTGAAGGTCTCTCGAAGATTTTCCAAATATTCTTTTACAAGCACTTTTCTGTCAAATGGTAAAAACTTCCTCTCTGGAAAAGGATCTTTTGTATTCGCTGTGGTCATGTTTCTTTCTTTCTGAAGGTCTGAATCAGAACTTGCTCGATCTTTTAATCCTCTTTTTTCTTCAAGTTTCATCTCTAAAACTCATAGTAAAAAATGTAATATAGTGCTGAATGAAGTGGTGCATTCTACATCATTTGCAAAAGAGAATTGAGACATTGAACACCTTCCTTACTTGGATAATCATCAAGCTCTCGGAAACAAATCAAACGCTAGTAAGAAATAACCCACAAGGAAGGTGAAACTTAAGAGCGAATTTTACCAATAGTCAAACATTTGGTGGCAACATCTGAAAAAATTAATTTAGCCCACGCGACAGATCAGGCTGAAAATGAAGTGATTCGTCCCATTATTAGACACAACAAGAGACGTTTCTAATTTATCTCACACAAGGAGTCATGCATAATGGCGGGACTATTAAAGGTGTATTTACCTTCTGTTCCTGATATTATCAAATCGAACCTCGCATTTCTGTATTCATCTTCGTCGATGTGCACAGTCAACGTCACTTCACCACCCGCCAGCTGCTTTATTTCCTCAGTAACAAGAAACTCTTGTAAATTTGTCTTAAGCTTTTCGTCTTGATAACTTTGCCATAATACGTCAAGAGCAGAAATATTTTCTGCTTGAATCGTAAATCGGATCGATCCTTCACTAATTGCACGCAAGCAATTTCCAAATGGAAGGACAGCTTCTTTGAAAGCGTTGACAAACTCTTCGATACTGAGACTTCTGCGAAGGACCATCCATGTAGTGACGACCACAGCACCACCAGTAACATTGCGGAAAGTACAGTGAGGTGTGACAACTGCAAAAAATGTAGAAATCATAGGGTTACATTAGCCGCTTGTGGAGTCGATTAAAAAAGCGGGCCTGAGCAAAGTAACAAACGTTGGGGAAGAGTTGGCTAAGGAGAGCACTTCTTCACAGACTCCTCGCGTAATTCGCTCTCCTGCCTCTTTGCAGGAAAGCGAATTACGCTTTCTCCACAACTAAGAGCCTAGCAAAGTCTAAATTTGAAAGGATTGCTGTTTTCGAAAGTTATACGTTACTGAGACAGACGACAAGAAAGTTTATGAATAAAGAGAAGTGGTTGGACTATAGACACAAAGTATTCTTTTTCGATCACAGAAAAAAAATGTAAAAGATTTTCCAAGAAAAGCACTTTAACAAACATTGTCCAGACTCAGCAATTTCCATGTTTATTTAGTGAATACCAAGCAAATTTCCTTTTCTTTGTTGGATCTCATCGTTGATTCTGGTAAGGGTGACAATATTAGTTTTGAGTATGCAATTACCACTCGAAGACTCTAGTAGCGTGAGCTTCTTGAAAGCAAATTGTCAGCGGGAATTACTGATTCAGGTTCTAGGTTCCTCATAATTTGGCTCTGCTTTTCAGCAAGGTTAATTAACACTGTCTTACCTCCTATTAATCTTTCTCCAATGTTTATTCCACCAGAAAGAACAGAAGCGGCCTGAGCTGGAATGTGAAAAAAATAAATC